GAGCAGATCCAAACGTTTCTGCCGCCGTGGGCTGCCTTGGGGAGCAGATCCAGGCGTTTACGGTCGCCTGCGACGGCACCTTTCACAGTCGGCACGTGATGAAAGTCGATGTCCTGGGAAGACGGGCTGCGTCTGGGCTCGTGCCATCGCGCATTTAGCACGCCAGTGAACCCGCGGGCTCGTTGCCTAGTGACCACACCCGGGTTTGTACGTGCCCGGGACGCTGCGCGAGATCCAGAATACAGCCAGTTTAAACGCAGGACTTCGGTCCCGTACGACACTCAGGCAGGGCTGGAGGCATTAGACCCCTCTCTATATACACTGGTGTCACGATCGGTTATTGTGTCCGCACACTTATAGGATGGTTCTCCGTAATGTTGTGGCATCACTGCAGGAAAGTTTTGCGGCACAACAGCAGGCATTCCTCCCCCTTAAAACCGGTCAGACCTGTTGCATTCAGGGTATTAAGCACCGCAAAAGTTCTGTGCTACTGGGACATCTACTCAATCAAATCCCATTATTCCAAGGTTTATCGAGTAGTTTTAGCCTACTCTATAATGCCTATAATAGTCTACTCTATAAACTATGTGAAACCATTTCAAATCACACAAATCAATCAAATCATCAAATCCATCCGTGTCATTACGACGACAAAGTGCGAGTCTCTGTTTGGAAACTTACTCAAAGTGCATTTCCTAGTTTTACGCGATTGTTGAGGAAACATTACCTAGCGATTGTGATCTACTACGTTCCCTTGCGTCATTGTCTTAATGCCTGAAATGAGAACACCGCAGTGACGGAGAAGTCAGCCTCAGACGTAAACTGACGTCAATGAATGGCAATATGTAGAATTGGTGAGCACTTGTTCGCTACCTTTCTGAAACCGTTTCAAAACCGATCCAGCGCCACGCCTCCCACTACATGCTGCATAATTTAGTTAGGCGTTGTAGAGAAACGTTAAATAAACCTCAATTATTGTTTCAGTTATCTCAAGGAGGGTTTTATGAAGCTGAGATAGATAGCATATATATATATATATATATATTACATTTTACAAATAGTATTCAATTTGGCTTTGATACACGTTTAGGGCTGCTTATTCATCAGCTGTCCATTTCCTTTTCGGCCAATACCGATGCATCCCAGCATAATAACAGCTGTGATTATGGTAACGTGGGAGAACCTTTGCCGCGTGGAGGTGGGCAGCCCAGAACATCGTTTGCTTCCAAAAGATCATTTCACGTCCAGTTGTATGCGAGTATTTTTCATTTAAGGTCCCTCTATATCGGCCATTTCACGGCTTATCCAATTTAATGGTCCTTTCACTTGAAGTTTTTATAGAGTCTTGAGACCATGAAGTAGACTGACCACTCAACATTTCAACTAAAGGTTGTTTCTAATCAAACTTTGGAATGACATAACATCATTAATACATAATTTTCCCTTTCATATCTTTTCACTTCCTTGCCACAACATTGCCAGCCTGTCACTTTATCACTGTATGGTGATAAAACCCATTAACATAGATATCAACAGGTCGGGCTCCGTTACTTGCGCTTCCGTTTAGCCCAAGTCTTCCCATGAGCAGTGGGCAAGGGTAACCCACTTTACCCCGATGTGATGCTTTAAATTCTATTCTAATATAGTGATTTGATTCATATCCATTCGTCAGTCCTGCTGGATATGCCGTTAGCCTGCTTCTCTTTGTCATATTACCTCGCCTAAAAGGTAGACATTTTGTTGTATCACATCATCAATGCGTTTGGACTAGACCTGAGGAAAATGAAAGGACGCACCTCTACTAATTTTAGTTGCTTGCAAGCAGTATGAAGAATAAGTTCCCTTCTGGCAGGATGAGCTCGCCAAATAGTTTTTAACTTGCCACTTCAAAAGTGGCGGATATTTCCCACGTTACCCGTCGGCCGGCCGGCCATTGTCCGCACCAAGGTACACAGAGAGTCGGCGGGCGCCGGTGACATCATGACGACGGAGGACATGGGTGGACGGTCACAAGACGTGATGGGAGGAACCGGGGTCATAACTTAGCACGCAGAAGGAAAACGAGGATCAGTGGAGCACCCATCATAGTCCATCGACTGATCAGCGCCATGCGGAAGCCAGTTCTGGATGCGACTTTCTCTGTACCGATGACAACGTGCTTACGTCTGCATGAACTTGGTACTTCTTTAGGAAATAGCGACCGCTTAAATCAGAGGTGACGTCAACTCCGCCAAACCAAGGAGCCACAAATAATGCTTCCAGCAGCCCACATGGTGAGGACGGTTTTTGCGTGCAAACGAGCGGCAAAAGCGGCGCTTGTTTTTGCCACTGAGCGTTCATTCTTCATGTGCTGGGACGAACAAAGGACGGACGCCCATTTTACAGTTGTGAACTCCGTGACCCGGGAACGTCCGAGTGCGTCGGGATGGCCATCAGAGGGCAGTACGACTTCGTCCTTTGTTCCCGTAATTGTTACTGCGAACCCGTCTGGGACACTCATAAGGGACAAACATGGCCCACGAGCGCTAATGGTTCGTAATGGCGCACAGGAATCAAGGGTACCTTGAACCCCACCGAGCCAAACCGCAGCCCATCGAATCCTGCCTGCAATGGTTCAAAACGTCCCACACTATATATCCCCCGTCCCACCACCACAGAAGCTTGCGATACAGAGGCCAGTTTTCCACGAAATTGGCGCCCTTGTCTGGCCCATCTGGCGTCGGAGTCGCACGACCAAGAGCAGACCGAGCTTGGCCCGAGAGCCACAGCAGGCCGCGGTCACGTTTTCGCCAGACACGACTCGACGGCCGCATCGTGGCTGTGTGGTACCCCGTACAATGTCAGCGACCGAGGAGAAACCGCACGCTGGCCGCGCCGCCGCCGCCTCCTGCGTGCGCAGTCGGCAGCGTCAATTGGCTGCCCTCGGCGCGCCGGTCCGCTGTTTTTCTGTGGGAAATTGGCCTTGGGCAGGCGCGACGTCTGGTCTCCTGTGCGCTCACCGTGGCCACCTCCTCCCTCCCCTGAATGGGAGCGTGGGTGGGGGTGGGGGAGACAGGCAGCGGCCGCGCTCCATCCAAGGCCGTCGGCGGCCAAGTCACGGGCGGAAGAAGGCGAGGCGCTACAAGCACAGGAGTCACGCCCGCAGGAGCCGGGGTATGCCGAGGCCCCGGTCCCCCGGCACAGGAGTCACGCCCGTAGGAGCCGGGGTATGCCGAGGCCCTCAGCTCCCCAGCATGGGAGGATGGCGGCCACGGCCGGGCGGAAGAAGGCGAGGCGCTACAAGCACAGGAGTCACGCCCGTAGGAGCCGGGGTATGCCGAGGCCCTCAGCTCCCCAGCATGGGAGGACGGCGGCCACGGCCGGGCTGATGAAGGCGAGGCGCTACAAGCACAGGAGTCACGCCCGCAGGAGCCGGGGTATGCCGAGGCCCCGGTCCCCCGGCACAGGAGTCACGCCCGTAGGAGCCGGGGTATGCCGAGGCCCTCAGCTCCCCAGCATGGGAGGACGGCGGCCACGGCCGGGCTGATGAAGGCGAGGCTCTACAAGCACAGGAGTCACGCCCGCAGGAGCCGGGGTATGCCGAGGCCCTCAGCTCCCCAGCATGGGAGGACGGCGGCCACGGCCGGGCTGATGAAGGCGAGGCTCTACAAGCACAGGAGTCACGCCCGCAGGAGCCGGGGTATGCCGAGGCCCCGGTCCCCCGGCACAGGAGTCACGCCCGCAGGAGCCGGGGTATGCCGAGGCCCCGGTCCCACGTTACGGGAGCATGGCGGCCACGGCCGGGCGGCACCGGCCATCCCAAGAACCGCAGCATGTCAATAGGCGATGCCATTCCACCAGCACAAGAGGTGAGCATCATTTTGCACACAGGACTCCGGCGAAGGTGTGGGCTGCTTGCATGCATGCATTTGCATAAAGTCTATGCTAAGCAGCTTTTATAAACATCAGATATAAAACAAATAATGAATGCGACTACGGCCATGGCATGATCAGAAAGTGTGTGCGCATTTCTATTGGACATTCTTTTTCGCACATACCATGCATATTAGGATATGTGCCGAGACATCAACACGCTTGCTCTCCTAAACTTTGTGGTCTGTATGGCCCTATGGCTTCGTCAAAGGTCAAAAGTGGGGGATTCGTCAATATTATTAAGACATGTGCTTAAATACAACCAAACAGTAACTTTTCAAGTCAGGTGAAGTTCTTCACGCTTCAAGGAAGTTCTTCACGCTCACGCTCTTCCCCCCTCCCCGCTCCCGGTGCTGAAGCCCCATGTCATGAACCCCGCGCGGCTAAATGTTCTGTCCATGAACACATGACTTCGAAACGCTGTCAGATGACAGGGCGCAAAAACCGCAGAAGCTCGTAAGGGGTGGCAGAGGCGACGCCCCCCCCCCCCCTACCTGGTGAGGGGTGGCAGAGGGGAGACAGCTCTTCCACCATCTCCAGAAATTGTCCACATTGATACCCTGTCGTTGCACTTAGAAAACGGGATAAAGCTCCTGTTAGTTCTGCCCACTTCCGCAGAGGATTCGGCGAAGCTGATAACGCAGGACAGCGTCCTGCACCGTCAAGTCAAGTACGACCGCACGATCAGCCTGTTATATGCCTGACGGACTTATGACTGGCAAGCCTGATAGTTTTTCCTACCATCGCAGGCGTGTCGGCTGGTTTTGCATGACAGAGTCGTGCCGCTGACGTCGGTGGTCCATGACTGACCTGGCCTCTCCGCACGGCGTGTTAGGCCGAGCGCCACCAGGGTCAGTGCCCTCTGGCGAGATCACCGCACGGCTGACCACGGCCGCCTCCAGACGGGGACAACACTCGACTGCCCAGCGTACCGTTCACCACGCACCACTGGTACATCTCGAGCCGGTTCCAGCCGAGTGGGTCTGATGCCGGTTCAGGACACCCAGCGCGACCTCCACCGGACCGGTGCGCGCTAATGAATGACGCGGGAGGCTCCAGAGCGGCATCACGGAAGCAGCGAGACTTACCGTCTGTCCCGCATCCTCTACTGCTCCGGTTGTGGCCTGCACGCGGCGCAGCAGCGATCCATGCGGGGCGGTGACTGTCGGCGGGCCTCCCGCTACCCCTGCGCGTCACCGGCACGACCGCCGCCCGGGCCAGCGCCTCAGATCACACGCGCGCCTGTGCCGGCGTCCGCGGGTGGCGGACCCTCTCGGGCCGGCCAGCCGTTCGCCTTATTCGTCGGCTCTTCGCACTGCGGCGCCGGCTCCGCCCGCGCTGGTAGAACGGTGGAACCAGGCGGCGGCGCCCGCCGATTGGTCGGCGCCGCCCGGTGGAGCGGTGGCGGCGCGTCGCACGCGGCCGGCGCGGGTCAACCACCGCGCCGGCGGCCAATGGCGGCCCGGCGCGCGGCCGACGTCACCCCACCTGTTGATGTTTTCCCAGGCAGGAGCCGCTGGCCGCAGGTGAGCTGGGCAGACGGTGCGGAGGAGTGCGCTGCCGCCGGAGCCGCCGCTGGCTGCAGGTAAGCCCTCAGGGACGGGTCATCCCGCGCTTTGTGTCGCCGGGATGGGGACCAAGCACCGACAGACGCGTCATGACCTGGCACGGCCTGGATCTGCAGACCGGTCGCCGTTGTCCCGTCAGCACCGAGCGGAACTCCGCAGTCACGCAGCGAGGCGCGACGCTTTTTGAGCGGGGAGGCCGAGGCCGGGGTCGGCTGTTGGGTGCCTAGCCTTCGAACGCCGCCGGCGCAGGCCTCGAGCCCGCACAGTGATGCAGCGCCAGCTACGTGACGGCCGTTTCCACTGGCAGGCCAGGAGTCGATGGCCCGGGAGTGGGTCTGGAAATAACTGTTCTTGGAGGCCCGGGGCTAGTGGAAGTGTCCGAAGGATTGCATTTTTTTCTCATGTGATCGGCGTAGATGACCCTTTTTAGTTCGATATTTCGGCCCCAAATCGCCATCGCGGCCTTGGGCCGCGGAGAGGGCCGCCTCGTCGCGGTGACTGCGCTGCAACACAGAACCGTATCACTGACAATGGACTCCCTTTAATCTGAAGCACAGAACATTTCCGTTTTCTGGGCTGCTCTCATCGACTCGCTCAAAATGAGCGACACAAAGGCGGGTTGCATTCTCATTAGAAGACAAAACATTGAAATGGCGCAAGACTTCCATTTGACCCCTTCCCAGTTGACGTATCAAGGGTGCCGATAGTGTAGTGTTAGCGCGTTTCAGAAGCCAAAGGTACGTGGTTCAATTCCCCGCGGTGCCCACTGTTCCCGCCAGGGTGAGAGGCAGGCAACGCCATAGTTAGCCCCAGTAGATGAGTACATCATAAAGCCGCAATGACGACGCCGACGACACAAGCTCTTAAATTTCGCAGCAAGAGTTGTGGAAGGGGCACGGTGCGTGCCAAGACTGGCCCGGGACTGTAGAGTGGGACAGAATCGAACTGAGAGCGTAATTGAGAAGCGTAACGTCACGAAGGCGTGGAAGGCCATGGACACCGAGTAAGGCCCGCAGATAGTAGGCGACACATTCGTGACAAGGTCATCGGTACCCAGCCGTGCCAGTCGTGCTTCGGCCACGCGGCACCTGGAGCTACCTAGGTGTCGGCGACGTCCTCCCAGCAAGCCTCTTGTCTTCGTGCTGCAATCGCATGAAGTGGTCTGCCAAGTGCAGTCACTGGATGCAGATCTGTCCATTGTCCACTGTCCACTGTTCATTGTTGAGAATTGCCTTAAGAGCACTGGAGTGTGATGTAGACTTGATGACTCAAGTTCTGCTGTGCCGATGTTTTATGACTGGTGTGACATACCATTTAACGTATCTTATCATTACGCCGAGTTTATCGACGCAATTAGCCTTTTGGATTTAATGTGACTTATTAATGATGATAATCCGTGCTAGCCATATTTATGGATGGCTTTGATACGGAATACATGCAGGCATACAAGCATATTTATCTAATATCTACCTTGTTTGTCGCGGCATCTTTGTCTAGGACTTAAATGCTCCTTTCATGCAATGTGCTGCCTCACATCATCGAAAGTATCAAGTCAAGAAACAAATAGTTGTTCTGAACTTTTCCAGGAACGATGCTGCCGAATCAAGAATACATGCTCCAGCTCTCTGGTGTTTTCCACACCGGGCAGGTGAGGCCTTGCAAGACTAACCGCATTGTAATCTTAAGGTTATGCAATGATCTTCCGTGTTCCACCCGGAATCCGTTCTTGTTCGCATTCCCGGCACGCCGTCACGTGCCGTGGCTCACGCGGGGCCCTTGATAAACGGCTGTAGTCTACAGGCGGCTGACGATCGGAAGATGAACACGCTGCGTGGCTTAACTCCTGCTGCAAAACACCGCCAACAGCAGTCCGAGGGTCACGTGATCCGCGCCTGATAACCACAAGCCCTCGCTCTTGGCCACGAGCTCACCGGAGGACAGCCGGTCCGTGCGCTCGCTGTGCCGTAAGCCCGCTGCCTGGACACGCTGCCCCTGACGCCGGCTGTCGCCTCCATCCAGGTGGAGTCCGGCTCCTGCTTCCAGCAGCTGCTGGGCTCTGTGCCGACCGGGGTCATCCTCAAGGACGTGTCTCTGGAAGTGCACGGCGGCGAGGTGATGGCTGTGCTCGGTTCCAAGGGTAAGTCACGGCAACGGATCGTGGCGAGAAATGAGAATGCCAACCAATTCTTGCAGTTGGTAAAATATCTCAAAATGCGACGCGTTTATGATGCGTCCCCCGGCCGTTCAGAAACACTTTTTGTGAGTACCAGGATTGTTGATTTATTTCATTGGATGAGTTTCCAATGCGTTTGAATTGTTGCCCGTCTGTAACGACATCAGTCACGAAGCTTGTTGTTGAGTGCTGAGGTAACGTTGTGGCAACTAGAACTGTGCTGGATTGCGGGTTGAGCCCGAGTCAAGTGCAGCTTCAACAAACTTTACAAATGTGATTAGCTGAGTCAAGAGGAAGTCAATTTCTCAGTGTTTTGTGGGCTCGAAACGTAGTCGAAGCAAACTTCATTGGTTGGAATCATTGTTGGGTCTTTCAGGTTGAAGTGTAGGAAAATAGTGTATGGTTAGATAGGCAGATACGTTCACTCGTTTACGCGCACATTTACTTGACACAGACACGTGGTTGATCCCAAATGTATGGTCCCTGGCTCGCGCAGATCATTTCGTGAAGGCGAGACTCTGGATCCTGGCTCCCATTGGCTCCTCCGTAAACCCCAGGTCCTGGTTCCTTGGTCCTATTTGTTCCCTTTCAAGCTCCAAGCGCTGTTTTCTGGCTCTCACTGCCTTTTTGTGAACACCAGATGCTGACTTCTTCCCACTGTTTTTTTTCTTCTAAAAAACACCAGGACCCAGTTCCGTTTAGTTCACCAAAACTGCCAAATTTTGGTGCCTTTTTGTATTTGCGTCCTTAATTTTTTCTAGCTTTGGTTGCGTCTTGTAGGTTATTTACACCTGAACAGATGTAACTTCCGAATTAAAAAAATATAATGCAACGCATCAGTTAGACAATACTAGAGGGACAGGACATTGCCGCGGTGCGCACATTCTTTTTAAGAGACATCGCTTTGTGATCCCAGAAACACTTCATGGCTTGACCTTTTGATGACCTTGCTCATCAAAAGCTGAGAAACATATTACGTGAGCTTTATGCAGCTTATCTTCACTTATTTTATTCGGAGCCGACGCGGCTTTGTGTAATTTTCTGTCGTCCTGCTTGACTTTCTGGAGGTTCACTACGGGACGTGTCACATTAGCTGATCCAGTACAGGGCTCAGCGGCGCGTAGTCAGCCGCAACCCAGTGGATATACGTGCCCTTACACTTACACACTGTTACCTCATTTGAATTACTTAAGTCCCGGATGCCACAGCCCCGGACTGCGAAATATCTCTTTACATGGTCTAAATGTCCGACGCCCGAGATGTGATACACATGACATGTGAGATGATTAGCACATCAAACTATTGCGCCTGGCAGCGCGTCACAAGCTGCACGCCAGACCTGATGTCGGCGCCAGTGCCACCGCATGCTGTCGCCGCATCCAAGTCTATTGCGTTCCGATTCGCTACGACTCTCGGCCGCCGAAAGGGCCGCCAGCGCACACTGGCCGCTCACGTCATCGGCACCGGCGGCAGAGCGGCCAATGGGCGCGGCGTTTGACACTCACGAGAACGGGCAACTTTGTAGTGGATTTCCTCTTCGGAACTAAATCGAAACCGAAGAAAATGTCTACTGCGCTGCTCGGAATCATCATCGGGATCGATTCCACGTCCTTTGAATCGGAGATTGAATTGATTTCGGTCAGGCGAAAACGAGCGCGAATCTGCCGGTAGCGCTATAGGCATGAAATGTGGCCCCTGATGGCGTGGTATGACATCGAGAGGCTTAGTCAGACCCAATACGGCAGGAATAGAACCGCCACCGAGAATTTACATCAGTATTGGGAAAAGCTCAACAGTTCTCATTAATGTCTATCCCGGTGGCTCAGCTAGTTGGAGCGTCTGCCTTCCGATCCACCCACTCGTGGCAGGGGGATTCGAGTCGCTTGAGGCGCTTGCTCTGTGCACTTAACAGGCATGACATGCGACCGGCGACAGCGGTCGCGCCAAAGGTCAGTTGATGTCATAGGGCAGGACGGATCGTGCCGAGCGTTGCGGCACGTCAAGCTTTCGCCACCAGATTCTGCCGCTGTCCGGAATTGCGCGATCGGATGATAGGGGTCCGGGCTCACACAACAAGCACTGCTCAGCGTGAGCTCTGATCCCAGAAATCCGTCCATTCGAAAGGTTCGGATTGAATCTTAAAAAGTTACCTTGTATCGCGTTGTACTGGATGCCGTAAATTATGTCATGAATGTGTCTCTAGCCAGTTTTGCCCGCTATTTCTAAGTTTCTAGCGAGTGCATGCGCCACCCCACATGGCCACCGTGTCTCTCCGCCAGGCAGCGGCAAGCGCGCCCTTCTGGAGGTGATCTCGCGCCGGGCCCAGGGCCGCAACAGGGGCCAGATCCTGCTGAACAACGTGCCCATGTCGCAGCAGCTGTTCCAGGAGCACTGCGGCTACGTGACGCAGAAGGCCGACCTCATCCCCGGCCTGACAGTGCGCCAGACGCTGCAGTACGCCGCCAACATGACCATCTCCATGCAGGTGAGGCGGTGAAACAGGATTGTGATGAGTGACTTTGCTGCCAGCAGGTACTTCTCACACTTGTGGTGTAGCTTAAGCACTGAGGCATAACCTTGTTTGATGAGTATTTGTGGACGATTTATGTCGAAGCGCACAGTATTGAGCGCCTCACTGTGTGGCTGAGTGTCTTAAAGTGGCAAACAAAGACCTTCCATTGCATTCGTGAAAACGTCCACATGTAGGGCTGAGCGACGGGTCTCATAGCACACCAGACAGCATACTGTTGCCTGCTGTTAATATTGACGAGTACATGTCACCAGATAGCTGGCGTCATCTTCCGTTTGATTCCGTGACCACCGCTCCGGCAGATATCGGGCGGGGTGAAGGCGGCGCGAGTTAAACAGGTGATGGCCGACATGGCGCTCACCAACGTCAGCAACCGCGGGGTCGAGGACCTGACGGCGTCCGAGTACAAGCGGCTGGTGATCGGCGTCCAGCTGATCCGGGACCCGGGTGAGGACACCCTGGTCCTCCCGTCCGTATCGCACTTCTGTGCCGCCCTCGTGGACCGGGGAGAGGACGCCCTGTCCCCTCCCGTCTGTATCTCACCCCTGCTGCCTTCGTGAACCCGGGTGAGGACGCCCTGTCCCCTTCCTTTCGTACCTGCTGCCCTCGTGGACCCGGGTGAGGACGCCCTGTTCCCTCCCGTCCGTACCGCACCACTCCTGTGCCGCCCTCGTGGACCCGGGTGAGGAAACCCTGTCTCCTCCAGTCCGTACCGCACTCCTGCTACCCTCGTGGGGTCTTTCGCCAGGGAACGACGCCCTATTAGTACCATTCGTGAGGAATGCTTGCTAGCACCATTTTGGTTGCGTCGCTGAGTGTTTTAGCGAACCCAACGCCACTATGTCAGCTCAACGTTCATATTTCAACCCCAGTCTCGTGGTCCGCGATTGGGATGACAACAACGTGTCATGTCTTCAACTGACTGTTGAACGCTAACTGACACACACACGACTGGTCCGGACACCATGTGTGTGCACATTGATGAGTCGATCGTCTGACGCCATCTTGATCTGCTGTTACAGTGTGTCTCCTGCTGGACGAGCCCACTTGGGACCTGGATCCACTCAACACCTACTTCATCATCTCCATCCTCTCCAACCACGCCAAGAAGTACAACCGAATCGTGGTGCTCACCATGGAGAAGCCCCGCTCCGACATCTTCCCCTTCCTGGACCGCGTGACCTATCTCTGCCTGGGCGACGTCGTCTACACGGGCAGCACGCGCATGATGCTCGACTACTTCCGGGTCATCGGCTTCCCCTGCCCGGAGCTGGAGAACCCGCTCATGTACTACCGTGAGTTCTCAGTCTGCACTCCGTCGCCCTCAATTGGCGCATACTGTAAAAGAAGGACTGAATTACAACACTGGGTGCTGTTGCCTGTTAGCACTCGCATCATAGATGTGAAACAAAGCGTTGCCCACTTACCCTTCCAAACACTAGGTCCGTCGTCTTGGCATTCGTCGCCTCCTTTTCCGCACGTTGGCTTTCCTGCAGCAGTAGTTCATTTGAGAGACAGCGAATTAAGCTTCCAGCGCCTTCATATCACACCTTTGACAAGTCCGATAAAAACCATGATTAATGTCTTGTAGGGTCATTATGAGTTTATAGATCATAGGTCATAATTTTGCGGTCGAATGCTAACTTCTTGCCGCGAGCTGGCATCAGTTTATAATACGAACACAGGTCAACGTTGAGTACAGCTTAAGGTTGGTAGAGCGTTTTCGTAAAGCGCGGCATCAGCAAAGCCGTTTCGAATCACTGAGAACATGGTTTGGGATCGTTTCATGTCTCATGCTATATATGTACACATATAAGCTTCTGTGATAGATACGGTGTCTTGTATTGTTCGGTGCCTTGCATTGTTTTTTCCGAGCTCCTTACAAACACACACATAATGCAATGGGTGAAAGCCCCGATAGCTCATTTGGTCAGTGACCGCCTTCAAACCCACGCGTAGCTGGTTGGGTTCCAGTCGGTTTTAGGCGCTAGCTATTTCCCTATTGCCATTGGACAATGGCAATCGCATGAACTATTCGCTTTTTGCCGTGCTATTGGACTTCTTGCCGTGCTAAAGGTCACGTAACTTCAGCGGGTAGGACCGATCGTGCCGTGCATTGCTGCACGCTACGCTTTCGCCTCAAAACTCTGCCGTTGACCTATAATTTCACCATCGAGTGGTGGGCTCAGGGCTCACGCAATAAACCCTGCTCTGTGTGGACGCTGATCTCAGAAATCCGCCAAAAAGTTTTAACTCAAGCCTGTAAGAAACGAAAACATAATCCATTGACTTAACACCGTTTTACGTGACATAAAGTCTAGACTCAGCGCACCTGAAGCCCAGTTAGACTGCTAGTCGTTTTCTTCTGTATCCATCCACACTTTATCTTAAAGAGTAATTCCATTCCTCGGTTTATTCAGGCATATTGGTTCACCGGATTTACACAAATACCCTTATTTACAAAACCTGTCATTTCTGGGCGAGCGCTGACGAGAACAGTTTATATTCTGCCTTTAAAAATGCTGGCGGCACCGAATGCTGTCTGACTCAGCACAGTCAGCTGTTCACGAAGATAGAGGTGAAATACCGTCCAGTCAGCCGTGTGTGGGAAAGGACCCCAGTGACTCCCGTGTTACACCCTTCAGTGTCCGCAATCTTTCAATGGAATAATAGTGAGAGAAAATCTGAAAATCATGGCATGTCTGTCTGATAACAGTAAAATGCCATCCAGTTTGTACAATGTAGTTTGTGGGTTATAACTGTTATGGCTGGCATGACACAAGCATTCATATCACAGTCAAACAGTCAAACCAACAGAACTAACTTGCGCTCTAACTCTGCACGATTTGTACATCTGTTAAGTGCCTCTGGCCTCTGTTTATGTGATTGCTTCTAACTGATCCAGCTCGGCCCAGTTCCATCATTAACAGTCTATATGCCCGTGGACTGCGAAACGCTGAACCAGTTCATCATATATATATATATATATATATATATATATATATATATATATATATACATATATATATCGCATAATGTAATTATCCATTTCATTTTGTGCATCAACTCCTTTATTTTGTTCATTTCCCATCATTTTTTCTTTCTTGACGGCGGCGCCAAGCTCATCTGTCCCGCCCCCACGGTATGCGTCTGTCGACGGTACAAAATTAGCCTGACCTGCCACTCAGCGTGATCGTCAAGTGACTTGATCTGACCTGACCCGCTCCGTCCCGACAACGCGCCTATCGACTGACCTGACCCGACCTGACCCGACCTCCGGCAGTGTGCTGCACGACTGACCTGACCCGACCTGACCTGACCTCCGGCAGTTTGCCTGTCGACGGTGGACCGGCGTTCGCGGGAGCGCTTCATCGAGTCCAACAACCAGATCGCGGCACTGGTGGAGCGCTTCCGCGCCGAGGGCGGCCCGTACCGCAAGCACGCGCCGCCCGACATCGAACCGGACACGATGCAGCTGAAGGTGCCGCTGTCGGCGTACGGGCGCGCGCCGCTACTGGCGGTCATGTGGAGCCTCATCTGGTGAGCCCAGCCGGACGGTCGGGTGCCCTCCACGATAGGGTGCCGGTTGCTCGCGCCGCTGCTGGCCGGCATGTGGAGCCTCATCTGGTGAGCCCAGCCGGACGGTCGGGCGTCCTCCACGATAGGGTGACGGTTGCTCGCGCCGCTGCTGGCCGGCATGTGGAACCTCATCTGGTGAGCCCAGACAGACAGCCGGGCGTCCTCCACGATAGGGTGACGGTTGCTCGCGCCGCTGCTGGCCGGCATGTGGAGCCTCATCTGGTGAGCCCAGCCGGACGGTCGGGCGTCCTCCACGATAGGGTGACGGTTGCTCGCGCCGCTGCTGGCCGGCATGTGGAGCCTCATCTGGTGAGCCCAGCCGGACGGTCGGGTGCCCTCCACGATAGGGTGCCGGTTGCTCGCGCCGCTGCTGGCCGGCATGTGGAGCCTCATCTGGTGAGCCCAGCCGGACGGTCGGGCGTCCTCCACGATAGGGTGCCGGTTGCTCGCGCCGCTGCTGGCCGGCATGTGGAACCTCATCTGGTGAGCCCAGACAGACAGCCGGGCGTCCTCCACGATAGGGTGCCGGTTTGCTCGCGCCGCTGCTGGCCGGCATGTGGAGCCTCATCTGGTGAGCCCAGACAGACAGCCGGGCGTCCTCCACGATAGGGTGACGGTTGCTCGCGCCGCTGCTGGCCGGCATGTGGAGCCTCATCTGGTGAGCCCAGCCGGACGGTCGGGCGTCCCTCCACGATAGGGTGACGGTTGCTCGCGCCGCTGCTGGCCGGCATGTGGAGCCTCATCTGGTGAGCCCAGACAGACAGCCGGGCGCCCTCCACGGTAGGATGGGGGTCGCTCACGGCGGTACGTGCTGCGGGTCTTCTGTGGTGAGTGTTTTGTGTTTGTGCGGCAAGAGCCTCATGAGACAAGTGATTTGTTGGTGCTTTGTGTGGTGTGTGTCTTGAGCGATGGCCTCATGTGCCAACAGCTCAATATGGAAGGCTTCTCGCGTTGCGAAATGTGCCGCCTTCAATACACGGCTATTGTGGTGGGGTCTCATGCCGTGCGAGAGCGACGTATTTGATGGATGCCATGTTTCGTGAACTCCACCTTTGGCGAGTTTGGTGATGAGAGGGTGAATGTCAGATATAGCTGGCTACCACCGGACATCGGCCTTCAAATTCGCTGCTGTTCATTTGCTAGCATGTTGCTTGAACACTTATTTTGTTGTTCTCCGGTGCGTATGACAACTAAATGCTTTAAGACGATCGAAAGACCTGTTTTGACTGATCCGTTCTCTTACACGCGTCTTGTTTCTTTATAGGAGAACATGCGACTCAATATTCAACTTCCGACGTAGTGGGCTGAAGCTGCTCGGTCTCAAGCTGTTCCTGCTCCCCATATTCTTCTTCATTTTGTGGAACTTCTATTTCCCACTCCAGGTAAATGTTTCAGGTCGTCAGCTGAAGAAAGCTGATCGTAAGATGAGGGACGTGAACATGGATGAGATGCAATAGGTAGCTGCTAAAGCCGCTTGGGAATGTGTAGTGCGTTATGTCAGTCGCAAAACTGACAGGAAGCTACGCATACCAAATAACTGACCGAGCCCCCCCCCCCCCCCCACATAGTCGACTCAACAGTCACTGGTGACCAGAACCGGCCTGATCTTCAACTGCCTGGCCGGCGTGTCCTTCCTGTCCATCGCCATCACCGCCTCCACTTGTGAGTGTGGTACTCATCATAACCCGCTGTAAATACAGTTGGGCATATGTATATTTCATGGTGATATTATGTAACTGGTACGACACTGAGCATGTTTGTTAAGCGTCTTATTGATGGTATTATTACCTTAAAATGAAAGGTGCGATTACCATTTTACGTGGAATATTGCTTCATACGGTAGCTGCCGTTGTTGGGAGTGTCTGCCTACCGAATCTACGGGTGATCAATTTTCTGGCGTCCATCACGTGTTTATTTGTCCTGAGTAATACGAAACGATGCTTTAAAGATGTTTTTGACCCGCACTCACGTATGTGTCACAAAACCTGGAACATTTTCGTAACCCTCAAATCTTGAACTCACTACCTTGTGCTTCGTGCACCGACGTCACAGTCATAGGAGGGTTAGTGTTTTTTTTCGAGAGCAGAAATCTGGTGTCCTCAGCGGCATAGTGGTTATGCTAGTGTGGTGTTAAGGTTAGGTCGTTCCAAACGCAGGTTTGTCGGTTCGAAGCCGAGGTGGTGAAAAAAACTTTCGAGGCTGATATGCATTAATAGCTCGTGAACATGACGTGGATATATGCCGAACATTCTCAAGTCCCACTCAGTACTAATTAGCATTTGGCGACGACTGGAAAAGTAACTGACCGAAAAGTGTAAACAGTAACAACACTGAGGAAGAGATTGGCCCTAGTACTTATTGCATCCGTGCTAATAACTTTGCCGAAAAATTCTGTGCAACTTTAATCTAACGTGGCACGACCTCCACAACCGTGTCATGTTGTCCACAAAAAGCTATGCTTTTTTCGTTTTTGTCTCCTCGTTGCATTAGCGATGCGATCAAAGCCCCACATTGCACTCCCTAGCTTAACGTCAGGTAAGCCATACCCAAACACCAATCACTACTTCTTTTCCTCTGACCTGAGTGAGCCGGCAGCTCCCGCGTCCAGGAGCGGTTCTGCCGTTGGCCCGAGCACCGGCCTGGGCTCCGCCCCGCTGACGTTTGACCTGACCTCTGACCGCTCGCAGTCGGCTCGTTCCGGACGCGGTACTACCAGGAGTCGAGGGAGGGCGTGTACAGCGGCGCCTCGTTCGTGTTCTGCCAGACGCTCAGCTCTCTGCCGCTGTCGGCGCTCTCGGTCTGCGCCGCCGCCTCCATCATCTTTTGGTCAGCGTCCTGCTTGGTCGGGAAAACCGCGGTAGAATTCAGCTGCGGATTTGAGTTGTGCTCCTCGAGCCTGCGTAGGCTGGCACTGTGTCGGGTTTTAAGTCTTTGTTTGTAATGCCTGGCCTTAGTTAGGAATCTGTATCCGCCAAAAGTTAAGCATCGCTCACTTCCGAGATACTGAGACGCGTCCGGGATAGCAATACCAAGGGCGTCCGAGGCGCTTCCATCAGATCGCTCATGTCAAGAGCTTATGTGCATTTGTGTCGGCATTGTCATTAGAGAATTTGTTGGCGTTGGCTTCTCGGAATAGCTTTGATGCTTATCAACAATTACTTTTACTGCTTATTCAAAAAAGGGACAGGCTCACAATGCTGGTACGGATATGTTCCTGGTCTCACAGTTGCAGTTGAGCGAAGAGTTGATAGCGTTCGCCGTCCGTGACATCCCACAAGCGCGCCATTCTTCGGCAACGTTGCGCCGCTGCGCGAAACTGATGCCGTGGTCCTTGGCCGACTCATGCTGCCTGGCGTGTCCGCAGGGGCCTCGGCCTGGGCGACAGGCGCTCCACGACAGCCCCTGACCTGCCATGGTCCCTGACCAACTCGTACCGCCTGGCTTGTCCACAGGGGCCTTGGCTTGGGCGACAGGTACTCCACGACGGACGCGCTCTGGCAGTGGTTCCTCTTCTTCACCGTGCTCTGGGCCTGCTACGCCTTCGTGGAGCACCAGACCATGCTGCTGCTCATGGTGTGCAAGTCCTCGTTCACTGCCGCCATCGCCAGCTTCTACTGCACTGTCACCTACATACTCATCGGCAGCAGCACCCTTAAGTGAGTCTGGGTGGCCGCGATCGATACTCAACATTTTACGCCTCTAACAAGCGTTCAGAATCAGCACCCTGGTGGCAGTAGATTCACTTCATACGGGCGGGCCGACATCTAGCCATAGGCTTTTTAACTGACGTTTGACATGCATGACGTTTTTCCGAGTGCGTGCAACGAAGCACGCGTACATTGCGTTGTTCACGCATTCTGGCCGACATTATCATTCTTCCAGCCGTGCTGATTGAAATAACTCCAATCAAACGATATTGCACGTAGGTTATGTGGCAGCCCTTCGAATGAAATCTGGCATGATTAGTTCTCGTCTTAGAATGAATTCCTTAAGATACGCTGTTAAAATCAAACAAAGCTTCGTATTTTTTTTTTGAAAATTTGAGAATGGTTTGACGACATGGTTTCTCAATGACGAGAGTAGGATGATTAGTTCCGAGAATGCGCTGAAAGAAAATGCAGCGAATACAATAGGTCAGTTTACACCATCATCCAGTTCAGACCCTGATAACGGGAAACCTGATCATCAGAACCCAACAGCATCTTACGGGTTACAGCATAATGAAGTTCTCAATCTGCGTAAACCGCGACCAAAAGCGTAAACCAGAAGCTTGATCGTGTGAATCGGAAACGTATTTTCTTTCTACGTCGATATTGAAAAAATGTCACCACGTTTGGTAGACTAATTGTGCATTATTACTTCAAAACATGCATTGCAGGATGTCTCGATTAGCTCCAGACAGACGTCTGGAGCTTAGGAGTACTGCTTCGCTTAACATTATAAAAAGACTTCGAGGAATTCTGTCTCACATTAAGTGATCAGACAAGCATCGGTGGAAGGGTAGAGGAAAGAAATCCCGGAATGGATACAGCGCCAATGCACGTCCTCAGGCCACAGTAGCGTTTACATGCAATTGTGACCAGGTCAAGCGCCTTTAATGCGCCTGCATGGCTCATCAGAGCTGCGCCGCTACAACGCTGCACGACTAATTTGTTCCAGAACCCTGGTCGGCCTCCCGAAGTGGCTGTATTATGTCAGTTACGTCATCATCTACCGCTACGCGAGCGCCTTCCTGCACGAACAGATGTTCCGAGACAACTTTGTGGCGCTGCCATCCCGAAACGCCACAGCTCAGATCAACTGCATCAGCAACAACGCTCAGTACGGCTGCAGGTGAGCAGAAAAGTGGCGGCGTCAGAGCCGGTGCCTGCACACGGCAGCGGGGCCAGTGGTCGGGCTTGAGGCGCTGCGCTGTTTCAGAACGGCGACGTCGCTGTTTGGTTTGGTTGCGACTGTTTCTTACTCGGTGGAAATCTTAAGACATCTTTGAAAATGCAAGGTTTTGATGTTTTCAGGCTCGCTATTCTCCCATCTTTGTCTTTTGGTACATGTGATAATAATGTGTCCTTTCTGGCGCTGCTTCCGTTTGTTCGTATAGCGCGTATTGCAATATCCATCCTGAAAAGCCAAGCGAATCAGATATGCGCAAAAACAGACAAAAAGATGCAGTAGCCTTATAATGAAAATCAGCATATGCATTTTTCAGAAAGCATTTGTGCCGAGAGCTATATTTCGTGACTTAGCAGAGGGTTGCTAGATCCAGCTACATTCGTGTCATATTATTACTGTGACGCAACGCATTCTACGACTGCTGCGTGCATCCTCAGGTACTTGAATGGCACCCATTACCTCCAAGAGCGTTATAACCTGGGCAACCTTAAAAACCCGGTGGACGATCTGCACTTGTACTGGAACTTCGCCTGGACTTTCGCTTTCGTCGCTGGCCTTGTAGTCCTGAACATCATCGCATACAGCATGCCACTGCCGAACTTCATCAAGAGCAAGTTCAGAGAATGAGCACTGACGCGGGCAGGTGGAGAGACTCCGCACGTATGGGAGACAGTGCGCGTGTGTTTATTGCTGTGGTGGTATTTATATTGTAGGATCAAACAACATGTGATTCCGTGGTGTAGACACGCATCCTTTTAACTCAACTCGATGGCTAGTTCCAATAGCAGGCGATTGTATGCAAATGTTAAGTTGAAGAGCGTATGGGTGTGTACCGAATGATATTGTTACCTTGTTTGAACGATCGCAATGACCATAACAATGGCCAGTTATCGCCGCCACGAATTTTCTACCATGCGATGTTCGAAGTGTTGGAATCAAAGCGTTGTACACTTTTCTGAAAACTTAGTGCGGAAAAACAAACGGCTTATGCACACTGTCAGAACATGTTGGCGTAAATGAAACTTTGCAAAGCTTTGATTCCAGTTCCACGCACTTGCTTGCTTGGTAGAAGTTGCACTGTGAAGTATAAACAATTATTTGTTATGCTGAGATAAGCTGGGCTTGATTCTGCCACGTAGTGTTGTCTTGTGTTCTGCTGGATACAAACTTGTTTTACGCCATATACACAATAAATACACCTTCTGTTACATATCACCCCAGCTCGCTTATGAGAGTTCTCGCGGTTAATAAAGCCATTGTATGGGGCACTGCAGGGTAGGTAATGCCTTGTTGAAATGGGTTACGACAGAACGGGATAATTCACTGCCGGCAAACTCGTCCCGAACTTCATTGCTAAGCAATAGCGATATTCAGGTTGTTTTACGGGACATTAAATATTATTAACTGTGCATTGCACTGCATCACTGCTTACTGCTCCGGAAAGTCAGCCAGAGAACATCCCGTTTCCGACCAGCAAAAGCAGCTTGACACACCATCTGTTTCCGTCCGCCACGACAGTTCACGCACTGTATGCATTCGATTGAATTAAGATGATCTGCCTACAATAATTATATGCCTGTTGATCGTCAAGCCAGATGTATTTTGGATGAGTGTCGGCCACGGACCTTGCTCACAAACTCGAAAAGTACAAACATAAAATGAAACCATATGTCATCGAGTGTTGACAGTGGTTTGCCTGAGAACACGCACGATAAAAATGGCACACATGTCCACACTTTGATCGCAAAATTACAAGAAATCGCGGAATGTAAAAAAAACCAAATGCAACTACTCAGCCTGTTGGTAATGCATGTCATTTTATCACGTATGTTCTGAGGAAAAGCGCTGTCAGCACTGGCCGGCATCTGGTGTCCGTTTTATGTTTATATTTTTCGAATCTGTGAGGTGCGTGACCCGTAACTCATTCCGAATGCATCTTACTTAACAACACCAATATAGGATTAAAAGGTCATTTTAATAAAATACATTGTTTAGCACGCCATAATTTCACAAACATTGAACCATCATACAGTGACTGTGTACATTGCTCTGCATTGCTCCACCTCCTCATGCACTGCTTGTTGATCCATTTCGTACAATTTTAGGGCTAACATGCCATGCCATACGGCTGCATTAAAGGAAACCTCTCATGAGGGGAAAGTGCCATAGATCCTTGGCTAGAGTAGTTGGCTGCTGGTAACAAGGTGGCCTCACAAGTTACGGGAGCACTTTCTATGTACATACAGTGCGACGATACGTTTATGAAGAAATCAAGCGGTTGTGGTTATCAAAGTGAACAACATCTCACCAGCGACAAGACACTTTCGCGCGGGTGCGTGTAATTGTAGCAGATATTTGCATGCTGCAATTTAGTCGCCACGTCCCCACCGGTTTCACGACCGGCACCAACTCATACGGCACCCAGAAGCGCTCAGCAAAACCAGCCCTCCAGAATAGCCAAACAGGACACGCGGAACGCTTCACACATTATATGGACGAGGTTTCCTTATCCTCATTATCCCCATCCAGTTGCAGAATCTTTTCGCCTGGACGAGGGTCGCTGACCTCCATGCCCGTTCTGAAATGCAGTGAACACGGGCTCAGCCACGTAGTACTGTTCAGTTGTTAATGATATGTGGATTACTCGCGCGGTCAGCGGATTGGCGTCGGCCTGTGCCACAGCAAGTGGTTCTCTAGCGAAACCTTTAACGTAGATCGACCAACAGACAGGCAAGTTAATCACAAACCTACGGTTGCAGCTGCTATTGAACTTGACAAGAGGTGGCAACGTATTTTTTGACACAGTCTTGACCGAAAATAAATTGCTGAGTGTTCACTGATACCACTGAATTGAAAACAGACGAAACGCAGGCATAGAATCACGGGGCTGTGCCGTGTGACAAATCTGTAGTAGGCCTCAGTGCGATGCATCCTAATATTGCAATTATAACATTCAAGCGCATGCACTACCGTCTTAGGACGTGATAACAAAATACCCTATTAATCATTAGATCTTGCCGCTGAACGGCGTTTCACGGGGTCGTGTGGTCCACAACCGAGCCCTTGAGGGACGGCAGCTAGACCACGCTACCGCAATCTTGTGGAAACCATTATCCCGCTCCATAACGATTAAGGTTACTCGCACCGCTTGATGTTCGCAGAAGCGAGCCTATTCCGGGCCGGTCACGCTCCCGCATGGCTCTGCTCTATCTGACACGGCCGCCTGCGGCTTTAACGGCGCACGACTCTCAGTCGGGCTTGGTCAGCACACCGCGGGGTGTGAATTGACTGCCGCTGGCCGCACGATAGCCCCCTGCCAGCTGATTTCGAGCTTAGCCCGTGCCTATCAGGTCGAGGTCCCCCTAGGCGTCCCTGTGCCTGCCACGCCCACCCACGCTCTGGTCGTCATCTACACCGGCCGGGGCGTCTCTCTCCCCCCCCCCCCCCCCTCCAAGCTCACATCAATCAGCTGCATCCAATGCACGGGCCTGACGCACCCCGTAATCCTGGTAATGGGGTGGCCTGATGGTGCAAATGAGAGGTGCTCTGCCCTCTTTACACACAAGTCTGGTGGCTCTCAGCCATCCCAAGCTTTAATCTCGCCACGTTGTGCAACATAGGGGCTGAATAATAACTTTTTGGTTGCGGCATGGCATGCTTCAACCAAGAACTAGCACAACTGGAGTGAATACTACAGTTACGGCCACCTCACTGCACTCACCCGTCATCGTTCATGCTGTATATCTTGGGCTGGCCCTCCAAGTTGTCGACTGGCTTCACTAGCTGGTTGACACGCGGCAGCTCCAGGCCTGGCACCTTCTCCGTCGCCATGCTGTCCAGTTTGTTGAGCAGGCGCAGCTGCTCGGTGAGCTCGGCCGACGCTGGGACCGACTCCGGCACCTGCTCCGGCACCGGCTGCTCCGGCGGGAAGAAGATCTGGCTGCCATTCTTGGCTATCGGCGCCGCCTCTTCCGACTCGAAGGCGGCGTTCGAGTACGTCACCGGGGAGGGCTTGGACGGCTTGAGCGCCGACTTCAGCGGGCTGGTCGGCGGCAGGCGCGCGTGCAGCTCTCGACGCCGGTGCCGGCTGCGCAGCTCCGGGTCGTAGTCCTGGTAGTCATCGTCGTTGAAGATGTCGCGCAGCTGTTTCTGCAGGGTTCGTTATGGTTGAGGTTAGCAGGGGGAAACAAGCGTTTCCTAAGTCAATCGCCTGGCAGAGGCGGCTGACGGCAGTTGACAGCCATGGAATCTTCGTCATGGAGACAAGCTCTTTAATTCATTTCAAGTTGTATGCCTAAAGGCACTTAAGGAATTTGACGTAGTGCATGAGGATCGTCAGCAGCATCAGAGGTTAAGAGGCACTCAAATTGCGCCCTTGGTGCTAAAGGAGACGGGACGGCCATGCCCCGTCGCTTCTCCGTTCGACGGACGGGACGGCCCGTCGTTCCTCCGTTCGACAGCACCACAGACTTTTCCAAAGCTGGACCTGGCACGGGCAATTGTTTTGTGCTAATAAAATGCACGCAAAGATATCATGAAAACTTTATTTTCAATTGATATGCAAATGTGTAGAGACCAACAGCGCTTCGGCTAGTCTACAGTCCAAGTCCAGAATAAGAAGAATGATTGGACACATCCCATGACTGCTTTCGGTGGACGAAGGGTGTTAAAATACCATGCCAGAGGCACGGTCTATTCCCTATAGATTATGACATGGAAAGGTCTCCTTTGTTTATGACTGAGGAGGAAATGAACAAATCCATCATAAGCCGAGTCCTGTAGCATAAGAATTACGACAGCTGTGGTATTATAATTTAGAAACCGTCTCTAAGATGTTCTTCACCAAAGCACAACAGTGGAAACCCGAGCCCATGACAAATTATATAAAAAATATAAATAATCAGCCCATGACAAATTAATCAGCCGATCGAACGATGACGCCCACTTACGTCTTTGTCCTCGGGAATCGTCTTCACTTCCCGAGAGATGGCGGTGACGTCCTTCCCAGCGATCACGTCGTCCGCCAGACAGCCATCGTCCATGTCCATACTGTCTGACGGCTGGTCTCTAGACATCGGACAAATTTGTCGTCAATAATGCGATGCGAATAACGCTAACGTTTGTCAAAAGCTAGCCTACTCATGAACATTGCCTGCCTGATAGACCTGAGGAGGAATCCCAGTTACCAGGATGGGTGGATGACGGTCTGGAATCAGTGAACTGCATTCGTCGATAACCTAACCCGAGCATCTTCAGGCCACGTTGGTCAGGAAGCAGATCGATGTGTTTGCTTGGGCCCAAACTGTGCATGAAGACGCATCACCCGAAAAAATCGATGATCGTTCCCAGTCTTTGCAGTTTGCACGTTAATGTGATCTTAATAGAGCACAAACCTTTTCCTGGACGGGGTTGAGCGGCTGAAGAAAACAAACAGTAGAAATGCGGCCAGGAGGACGAGAGGGACAGCAATAGCAAATGCCATACCACCACTTTTCATTGATTTCCTCCAGGTACAAGGACACCTGGTGGTAGAAAAATATTACAGGGGCGTCAGATTCTGACATGGGAGACAGACGTACTGTCATCCACGCACTGTATGCGAAAATGAAAATGATTGTACAGGCAACACACGTTTTATATTCTACTTAACCGATGTCATCAACTTAACACATCTGGCTGTACTAATACACGTACCAGTGAAAACAAGATCAGGACGTAGCCGAAACGAAAGCATACAGTGCATAAGCCAAAAAGGAGTGTTCTTGCACTGCGCCAGACCAATGCGTTTAGAGCCAACAAAAAAGCAAAAAGTTGACGATGAAATGGCTGAGATAGTCACTGCTCGCCTGCCTGGCTCTGGTGCCCCAACGCCTGACGCGGTGCCGAGGTCAGCAGGCCGCAGCGCCGCCGGCACCCTGCCTTCGACCTCACCTTGTACTTGAGCGCGTTGTTGATCTTATCACCGAACTTGACGATGACTTGGACCAGGTCGTCCGTGAAGAAGACCCAGTCGCCGTCTTCCGAGACGATCTCCACATACCACGTCAGCCGGAAACACGTCGGATCGGGCTTGACCCAGCCGGAGGAGTAGTCGCACATGCTCCAGAAATCGAACCGGATGTCGTCGGCGCTGCGGGTGGAGAAGAAGAAGAAGGAGGTGTGGGCGGCGCTCAGGCACGCTCCACGGGAGGGCGAGCTAGAGCAGGGGCGGCCGGTCTCGCGCACCAGCGAATGCACGGACACGCCCCTTTTCAAGTTGGTGTAGAGCCCTCTGCCGAGTAGTGAACAGCCGAGGACGCACGGTATTCCGCTATAAGCAAGGGCTTTAAGATAACTGAATGTAGATGGACACAAATGTGAGCTGCAAATGAAGCGTGCGCAGTGACGTAATCTAATCTCGACGTCGGATGAAATTCTGTAATGGCTATCAGCACTGTTACCGGCGCACTCTGCGAGCAATGCCAGTTGATGACATACAATCAAACGCTAAACGATTTCCTGTTCAACCAGACGAGACTGGGTCGCGTTCTCGTGCCACACATTCCTACAAGCGAAGATCGGCACAGGCGAGCCGCCCACGCGAGGGGCCACGCTCGTCAGCCGCCGCCGTCCTGGCCCAGCGCCCCTTGTCCGTCCCTACTGCACCGACCCAGCGCTGTCAGCCCGTCCCTACTGCACCAGCCCAGCACTGTCAGCCCGTCCCTACTGCACTTGCCCGGCGCTCCAAGCCCGTCCTTACTGCACTGGCCGCCACGTGTTGATGTTGTACTCGATCCGGTACATGTTGGTGAAGTGGGCGAGCTGCTCCTGCAGCTGCGCGGTGGCGCCGGTGGAGCTGTTGAGGAAGCGGCGCGGCTCGGTGCCCGTCACGTACACGGCCAGGTCGAACGAGCGGTCGCTCGGCGTCGGCGGGTGGTTCTTGTCCGTCGTGCTCGACACGGTGGTGGTTGAGCCGGCGATCTCTGTAACCCGCCCAGCCGGGAAGGCACGTGTCGGCGGCGGAGCGCGGGCGGGCCGCCTCGGCCCGGCCGGGGAGGTACGTGCCGACGGCGGAGCACGAGCAGGCCGCCTCGGCCCGGCCGGGGAGGCGCGTGTCGACGGCGGACCACGAGCGGGCCGCCTCGGCCCGGCCGGGGAGGCACATGTCGACGGCGGACCACGAGCGGGCCGCCTCGGCCCGGCCGGGGAGGCACATGTCGACGGCGGAGCGCGAACGAGCCGCCTCGGCCCGGCCCCGGCAGCTAACCGGCCGGTGGCCCCTCCTCCCAATACTGACCCGAGGCAACCTCCCCACATGCTCCTCTGAAACCCCTCAATGCATTTGAGCGAACAGGTAATACTGGGGGTAAAGAAATGGATGCAAATTACGTTTATTATTTGTACAATAGTACCTAGACGCATCACATCTTCAACTCGTACCCAAACGTATCCGGCAGGTACCCAATGCTGCTGTCGTGCCAACTCGTTCACATATTGGGCCAGCTTGCAAATACCTGACAATTTTTTACATGCTGACGCCCGAATTTGGGTAAATAACAGCTGACTGTGACAAGCGCTGCTTTGAAATGCACAGGGTGATCCATATAGAAATTAGCCCATGTTTCCCTCAACAGCGGCAAGTGTATACGTTACATAGTCGTGACTGTGTTGGTATTCTACTGCCAATAGAATAGAAAATCACGATTACTGCCACCAGCAGCAATCAGTGATTCCACAGACATCAAACCATGACAATAAAATATACCGGTTCTAACAAACAAAGAGGCATCAGTTTTACTTTCATGGATAGGTGCTTCATGGCAGTGTGCTCAAAAATCGTCCATAGGCTCTCGTCCGTACGCGTACGTACGTCTGGCCACACCAATGCACATATGTTTTGGCGCCTTGGGCCACCTTTGATGAACGATGATCGATGACTTTTTAAGTGAGGACAAGGATTTTAATTACCGGAATGCTTTTTATGTGAATTATGCCCCATTCAAGGCTTTTCACAAAAACGCAGTCTCAAACCGCCTTGAAGTCGGAAGCCACCCTTGGCAACGAAACTAAATTGGAACCAAGGAAATATGCTTTTTAAGTTGAATTTCAACATCGGGAACGCCAATCAAAGTGACTAAATTCCGAGGAGACTCCGGTTTAGCGGGCAGGTTAAGCCAACCATGTCTGTTCGCCCTCCCCTCCACCGATTTTAAAAGTGGGGGCCCCTGACTGAGAGCTCGACGTTGCAAATCTGTTGGCTCCCAGGAACGCGTCCAGGTTGGCCAGTGAGCTGCACTACGTACCATAGCGATGCCAGTGAGCTTCACTACGTACCATAGCGATGCCAGTGAGCTGCACTACGTACCATAGCGATGCCAGTGAGCTTCACTACGTACCATAGCGATGCCAGTGAGCTGCACTACGTACCATAGCGATGCACGGCCCCAACTATCGGCACGCTTTCATCCTCTGCGAGTTTTGAAGCCCGAACGTACCCTCTGCGACGTAGCTGATGATGAACGGTGTTCGGGGCTCGGCGTGGCCCCCCGACAGGAAGTATACGAACGCATTTCCGCCCGGAATGTGGTACTTCCTGGTGCTGAACACGCCGGTGAGCAGGTCACCAGCGGGCTCGGAGTCCCAGGGTCCACTCCCTGCGACAGGTCACCACAGGGTCATCAGCTCAGCACACCAGCGGCAGCGGAAGGTCATGTCAGGTAGCGGTACCAGCAGGTCTCTTGAGTTACTCAGTAGCAGCAACCAGCAAGAGCGCATGTCCTTGGTCCAAGATACCGGTGAACCGCCAAGACATCTGCCTTGGTGCTTCAGGATGTAAATGAGGTGATAATGTCTTCGGGTCACATCCATAGCGATGTACTAAAGCCATCACCAGTTACCAGGTCGTCTGTGCAACTTTCATAAGATCTGATCGTTACCCACCGACAACACACGTACGCCAATGTCATGGGCCTGTGCTGCTGACCGCTCGAAAGCCATACGAAGCCTATATGCATAAATGGCGTACAACGCCGGCAGGAACAGCTTTTGTTCCGGTTTGGATGGCTGATGGTTGCCACGCCCAGTCGGCCCAGTCCAGTGGGCAACAGATCTCACCGTAGCCGCATATGATAAAGTCGTTAGCTGTCGGCTCCAGATCCAGCTGCTCCACAGTGATGTTGATGTGATAGGCGTGAATGTCCAGCGTCCAGAGGATCTCCGTGTTGAGCGCGTAGTCGGGTAGGTGAGTCCAGTTGGCCTGTTCAGGGGCCTCCAATACGCCGCTCAGAGCAGTCAAAGTGATGTTCTCACGGGCTGGTCACAAACGGAGGTGGCCAGGTGACCAGGGCGCATGGGACGCCGCACGGTCATGGCGTACAGGCTGTGCCCCGCGCGGTAATGCGGCACATATGGTTTACTGTATCCGTATGAGCGTACATATCGCTGTATCAGCGTGCATGTTTCTCTTCATGGCTAGTTGAATGATGTTTTGAAGAACGGCGTGGTTTTCACTCCCCGCATGTGCACTGCATCAAAGCAAACTGCTGAAAGTGCCCACCTGTGATAGTGAAATGTATTTTGGTGGACGTTAATATTGATGCCTATAGGATAGTAGATGACCATTATAACAGCAGGGGATCAGCAGACGCTCCACATCGCATTGCGCACACTGAGGCGGACTGGAGAACGCCGCGGATCATGACGGAGGGCTTGTTGACGAAACGTCCGCTAATCTCCTGCTCTAATAAGAGGTACCGACCACCCTATACGGTACACAGCCAGTGACCATGACAAAGGCCTCCAAGAATGTCCTACACCATCACCCAAGGGCCCTCCAAGAACTCCATGACGGCAAAATGTCATCTTTGTAGGCGTTATTGTTCGAAATTCTGTTCTCATTTGAGGAAGCCCGCCTCCAAAAGAGCCGAGAATCTGACGAAAGTCGCAAATTCTACAACGTACAGTAAAAAGCACGAATATTCGAATGTATGACGAAAACACATTAGCTTCTTCAATCCTAGGCGTCCCTCGGTGCACGTCCACCCACGTCCACCGTCCTCTCCCACTTTGCCATTCTCTTTCCAGCCTTTCCTTCGCTCCGCATCCCTGCCTCTCCTCCGAGCTTACTGGTGTTGTAGGCTACAAGCGTCATGATCACGCGACCGCGCTGGGCCTGATCTCCGGCGCGCCGATACTCGGCGGTGAGGCTGGCACCGCGGCTCGCCACCCAGGCCTCGCCGGCCTGCGTCAGCGCCGCCAGCTCTCCGCCGTCGTCTCGCAGCGTCAGGCTCTCGCCCGGACCGAAGCGGGTGCCGGACCCGGCCGGCGCCAGACGGAGCCGCACCACCGAGTCGGCCGAGCCGCTGAACGTCCACGTGATGACGGCATCCTGGAGAGCGGCGGCGATTGAAGCCGAGGCACCGCTGGTCGGGCGGGCATGTCGGGAGAGGTGATGAGTCGACTGCTCGACGCTGGCAGGCCAGCACGGCATGAAGCCGTCTTAACGGCATTACTTTGCTACGCAATACCAGAACATTTGTTAACTTTACGCACCGACCACTCGCAGCAACACTACATTCTTCTGTTTTAGGAAAGCCTTTTGCAGTGTTCGGCCAACGGTGAACTCTTACCGGACAGGTGGACTGATCGCTGTCGATGGGAGTCACGGCTAGGTCACGCAGCGTGCACGTGAATTTGCACTTTGTTGAGTCGGGCGAGCACGCCTGGTCCACCATCTCATGCGCAGCTGGCGCGACATCAGACGGGTCCTCGCCTTGTGAATCCAGCTCCACCTTGGTGAGGTCGAGACACCGGCCTGAAACGCCAGACAAGCGGCCTCTAGAGAAACGATCACATCCTTGCGATCCTTTGTCTCACCCGCATTCTTCTAAGAAATTCCCTTTACCTTGCGCTGTACTTTATCACTCGCTAAGCTGCAGCCGGGGTGCAAGGTGGTCGAGTGGATAAGGTCGCAGACTCCTTTGTGGAGACTGGGTTGAAAACCTGACTGACATGACGACATCTGGCTGCTGATATGGTTACTGCAGTCGCTGGCGCTTGATAAAAGAGTGTGCGAAAACGCATGCTGCGTTCTCCTAAACAATGGCTGCAGCAAATAGGAATCACCTTGCTCCCAGAGTCCCGCGTGTCGGTCGCCGCTCTCGCCTCCGCGGGTGATCGCCTGGGAGAACCCCGGGCTGCCCATTGGTCGCCGGGCTGCGCAGGCACGACAATGGCCGTGTTTAGCTCACCTGTGTCGGCGATGACCAGGACGAGCAGCGTCACCATCAGTCGGAGGCTCGTGACGGAACCCAGCCGCGAGCCCGGCCGGGCCGCCGGCCGACCAGTCCTGCCTGCGGTCTGCACTGCCCGCTCCATGCCCGGCCGCCCCGCGGCTGCCCTGGCTGCCCGTGCTGCGCGCTGGTCGGCCGTCAGATCACCACACTCGTGAGAGGCGCACAGCCTCACAGCTGGCGTGATCGCTGGCGCTGGTCGCCTCGCCGGCTGCTCTCCCGGTGACCCGCAGCGTGCGCACCGCTCCAGCTGTTCCGTGACGCGGTCTGGTCACTATCGCTGTCTGCCGGCGGTGCGTCGGTCCGCTCGGTATCCGCCGACACTCAGGTCCCCGGCAACACTCAGTGCACGGCCCGCCGCTCCTGTAAGCCGCCACTGGTCAACGAGCGTCACCCGTCTGCCGCCCCGGGCTCTGACCTGGCCACCCGGCTGGCAGTCAGCACCCGAGACGAGAGCTCGCCGACCAAGCTCTGACGTCAGAGGACGGCGACTAATCCGGCGTCGGACGCTCCAATCGCTGACCGAGATATCGCGCCGATAGGTCCGGCGCTGCGTCAGGTAGATACCATTATCTACATCCTATTGGGTGCGACTGCAGGACCATGAAAACATTAAGTTATGCCAAACGGTAGTGACAGGTGCCGCTAAGATCCAGAGGTGTTAACATACTGCCTTGAAAACAAAAAAGTGTCATTTCTGCTTCCGACAAGGACGTCTACCAGACGCAACCCATTCCGTTTTTTCTGCCGCGCTACCATTGTTAGGAGGTGCTAGCACTCAGCGCACGGTCCGGACTGCGCTGTGACCTCGGTATGGGGTGAGCTGCGACATCACAGGACGGCCGCGTCGCCCATGCCCTCGCCGAGTCGTGAGGGAGAGAGCGAGAGCCGTCCCTCTGTCTGCCTGCCAAGGTTTGAGCGATAGTGGCGAAGCCTCGCTTACGCGTTCAGCGACGACAGGGAATTGGGTGCTTTTACATTCTGGCATCGTCTGGTGAGGACCTTTGTGGCTTCTCACGATCGCTGAGAACGTTTGATGACGATCCATTCCGAGCCGCGAGCCGAAACGTTGTCCGAGCAGATAAAGGCAAAATCTAGATCACGCTAGTCATCGACTACGCGGATGAGTCAACTGGTTTCAACCATTTGTTAAAGCTGCTAGGTTACCGGCTCAAGGTACTGCCCAGATACGTGTCCCCACTGACTTCGAAAGCAGAATAGCTGCGTTCTATTTTCCACCAAAACATTTGTGTCAATTTTGAGCACTGATGTAGCAGCTATGTAACAGCTAGCCCGTCTTCGCTTTTCGCTCCTAAAACATTCCTTGTGCTTTAACGCCGATTTTCTCATCCGCTTTGCCTACTAAACCAACTGCTCAACTAAATTGCCGGCATTATGAGTTCGGAGTTCTCATGCTGAGCTATCAACCTTCAATACACCAGAAGGTAGTGGTTAAACAACGCTATAAAGTCAACATTGCCCATGCTCGACGTTTCAGGCTGTGCTCATGACGATAAGTAAAAAAGAGTACGCAAGGTTAAGAAAAAATGACACTTGAAAACCAAGCCAGGGAAAAAAGAAAATACTCCGAATCTGTGAAGACATTGTCAATACAAATATGTAAAAAATGATCAATCATCACAGCTTCTACCTTCCAACACCCGATACATGGTACTACGCCAAACGCTGCACGGAACTCAGCCTGCCAAGCTGGAAGGCTACGATGATCCGTGCCAAGTATTAGATAGAAAAACTACTTACCATGATTATTTACCAGCACAAACACTAACCGAACCCCACGAGCATCCCTGAAATCGGGTTCTTACGTCCTACCGCCCAATACACGGCGCTGCTAAAGGCTATCCGGGGCATAGGCGGCCAAGCCGAAATGTTTCGATGACCCGTAGCAGGTGTCAGATTCAGGAAACAACATTAACTGACAACGGGGACCTCGATATGTTAAATTTGCTGCACTTCAGAAATCTTCATCCGATGCTGAACACACCAACGCCATCATGGTTTGAGCAGCATGGTTAGTTCATGTACGTTAAACAATAATTATTCGTTTTATAGACACCAATGCCCGGTTGCAAGTTTCTTTCCGTCCCAAAAGTAAGAAATTCATCAAAACGTTTCTATGCTTCCATATTTCCTGGCTTAAATTCATCGTTTCTCTTCGCAACTACCGGGTCGTCGCAACAATCCAGATTAGCCAGCAGCCCTTAGGAGTACCGTATATTGACTGCCATAGAGTAGAGAGAATGAGAATAACCTTATGCTCATAATAAAATGAATAAGTCCACAACACACGCACACACACACACACACACACACACACATATATATATATATATATATATATATATATATATATATATATATATTTCAGCCAAGGCTAATCCTCAGTAGATGTACGTAGGGCAAACATTCGATCCAGGTCACAAACATCGTGCAGTAGAACATTTCCGAAACAGAATGCCTTACACATTTTCTCGGGCCGCATTATATCGAGTAACTCCAATGGAGAGAAATTGCATTACGAGACGTTGTCGTATAAGACGGGCTTCAAAAGGCTCCCGGACGCTACGTTTTGCCTCTCCAATGCAGGTGTTTGAGGGGGTTTTGTTTAGTTGGCACGTGGTAAGTTACCGTCTTTTGTACGACACTTCCCCGCATTTGCAGGAATTGTATGACCTTTCCCAAGCTAGGCAGAATGGTGGTAGGTCAAGTGCAATGGATGCCCCATGGACTACTCGTAATTTGGGTGTGATTGTACGACATTTCGGGAAGGTGTCCTTAAAGAACCTTAGCGGCTGGTCGCATTGCCCCTTCCTCCTTATCAGGGCGAGGGCTGAGCGATGGGATTCACCTTAGCAGCATGTATCTAGCTCTAGCTACCTAAGTCATGCGTGGCCTACATGAGGAATACTCAGTATGGTTGACCGAGTGCACTGAACAACGTCTCGCGTAAGCACGTGTCGTGAGGCTCAAGCAACAGTCGAGTCAACTGAGACATCCGTTCGCAAGCACGAATGATATCGGGAAATAGGACGAAACCCTCTGACCACAACAGGAGCACGTCACATTCAGCCGGATCGCAGAAAGTTCAGACCGAGAGCAACATGATTTCAACGGCCAAACTCCCTGCAGCTCTGCGTTTCCCGGCGGTGATCAGCTGGCGGGACCGACAGGACGGTCCCAGCTGAGCCTCAGACGCTCGGTGGAGCCATCCCGGCCCGGTGTCAGTGGCTCGCCAGAGCGCCGAACCTCCACCAGACGGGACCGGCGCGACGGTCCCAGCCGGGTCTCAGGCGCTCGGCGGTACCATCCCGGCCTGGTGTCAGCGGCTCGCCAGAGCGCCGGACCTCCACCAGACGGGACCGGCGCGACGGTCCCAGCCGGCCTCAGGCGCTCGGTGGTACCATCCCGGTCTGGTGTCAGAGGCTCGCCAGAGAGCCGGGCCTCCACCAGGCGGGACCGGCGCGACGGTCCCAGCCGGGCCTCAGGCGCTCGGCGGTACCATCCCGGTCCGGTGCCAGAGGCTCGCCAGAGAGCCGGGCCTCCACCAGGCGGGACCGGCGCGACGGTCCCAGCCGGCCTCAGGCGCTCGGTGGAGCCATCTCGGCCCGGTGTCAGCGGCTCGCCAGAGCGCCGGGCCTCGGACCGTCAGCTCGCGTGCCGCCGTCGCCACCTGTCGACACCACTGACCCGCAGATCACGCGCAATCAAACCTCGCCCGCAGCCGGGCGGCCATCATTACCCGGTCCTGGGTCACATTAATGGATTCCCTGGGCGCCGGGCGGGGGCGGCCGTCGGCGCGTGGGGCCAGTTTCCCAACAGCCATCTGTCTTCGGCGGCGGCCCGCTGGGTGCCAGTGGCCCGGCGGGGGTGGAGTCACGAGGGCTCTCCCGGGCTCCGGCGGGGCCAGAGGACCTAGGCTGTGCGTGACACGGTGGGTCCTTAGGACATGGGCTCAAGCTCGGTTTTATTAAGCTTAGTTCAATTTGTCAATTAGTCATCACCAGACGCACCTCAGGATCACAGATAGTCATAAAAGGCAAAACATGAACTGTAGAATGTAGCCAGTGCAAGGATTTCAGACTTTGAGTAATTCAGACACCTTTGAGACGGACCGAAGTAGTAGACAAGACTGTAAAGCGACAATGGTAAAATGGGTATGAGCTAGTGATCTGGCGCCAACAGATGCCTGATGGCTTGTTTCTTAAACTTGGAGTTCGTTTTGTCAACTATTGATATCACCGCTTTGCTGCAGATATTGGTTGCATGCCTTCAGATATTTAAATGTAACATAATGCTAATTGACGACTCTACAGTGCTGAAGCGAGCGTAAGGCACATCGAATTACACCGCGATGAGACACCGCACGTGCGACATCTGGGTTGAGATAGCCAAGCGTAAACATCAGGAATAAAACAACTATCGATAACATTAAGCGACGAAAGATGGCTGCTCCGATGCAGTGCTCCCGGTAGCACACTGTCAGTGCCACCGCTCTCTTGGAAGTTATTAACAGCAGCCCCGACTGACCCACGTGTGTAGGACTGACTGCGCGTGCTATTGGGTTAGGCTATGACAGCTCTCCGCTGTCTGCTGTCACTATTCATGAACGATGACGGATCGCCCCGAAACACCCGGTTGTCATTCGGTGTTTTCATCTTTCACTTATATTGGTTCGTCATCTGGTTACCATGAAGAATGTTTTCATCTCAGGGACGCTGAAAGCTGGTTAAATAAATACGGAATGATAAAAAGTGCATTCACACTATTACACTAGCAATTACATTACAGGCACATGCAGTATGTACTATTGCGCTCAATAAATGTTTTCCTCACGTGTGCTGAGAAGTTTGCACGATGTCCTCTTAAACAAAGCGTTACTGCCAAGTTGTTGGAAATCACCGGGCGTGACCGAGACTCCGACCTCCCATGACCGACTTATAGAACCAAACACCGACTGATCTGTTTGTGGATCATGACAATGAACACAATGAGATGGTGGCGCAATGCTGTTGTTAATTTCCTGTAGTGAGAAACGAGCAGCCACTTACGTCTTACATAGTAATGGGCGCACAAAAAGCGGGCTATGAATGTCAATATTTGAAAGGCCGATTGCTGTTGTTTAGCCACAGTTGACTGCTTGTGTGCAGAGCAGGGTGGCGTTAGCTAGGTAGTTTAGACAGACGCAGGAGCTGACTGCCACCAGGCATGGATGCAATATGTGTAAAATCCATCACCCACATGTGAAGGGCCATTAGTGTTTCGTATCGCATGAAATGCAAATAAACTACTTCATAGGTGGGTGTAACCTAGCTTTGGCTCGCCATACACTTTCGTGTATCTGCACAGCTCTCGAGCCTATGGCATCCAAATGGTCGGGCTGACGGGTCACGATCCCCGCTGTCGGGTGCACCGTCCCGACGGATGAACTGGGTGCCAGTCACCA